GAAGGTTGGCGATGCGTCCGCGTTCCGTGTCTGGGGATCTCGAGCTTTTGTCCGCGATACTACAGCGGACAAGCTGTCCTCCCGTGCCGTTCCCTGTGTCTTCCTTTGCTTCCCTCCTGACGCACTCGGGTGGCAGTTCTACCACCCCAGCTCGCGTCGTGTTCTGTCCTCTCAGGACGTCACGTTTGACGAGTTGGTGTCTTACTACCGTCTCTTTCCCTACCGCACTGCCTCTCCCCCTCCCCCGCCGCTCTTCCTTGCCCCAGGTACTCCTCCGGTAGACCCCCTCCCCCCCCAGGGTCCTGCCCCCTCAGGTGTGTCCCAGGTAGACCCTGCCGAGCCGGTCGAGGTAACTGTCGACTCAGGTGCTGCTAGGGGTGCTGACCCTGCGGGTGCGGGGACTGGGGGTGCTGAGACTGGGGGTGCTGAGTCTGGGGGTGTTGCGACTGGGCGTGCTGAGCCTGGGGGTGTGGCGCCTGAGGGTACTGTGTCTGGAGGTGCTGAGCCTGCGCGTGTTGAGTCTGGAGGTGCTCTGGGTGTCCCGTCGCGGCGGGAGCCCCTCTCTCCACAGCGGCTTCGTGAGTGGTACTCTCGACGCTGTCGGGTTGGTGCTGGTGCGGGTGCTGCTGGAGGTGCTGGCGCTGCTGGAGGTGGTGCTGGTGCTGGAGCTGCTGGAGGTGGTGCTGGTGCTGGAGCTGCTGGAGGTGCTGCTGGTGCTGGAGGTGCTACTGGAGCTACTGGAGGTGCTGGCACTGCTGAGGTGATGCTGGTGCTGGAGCTGCTGGAGCTGCTGGAGCTGCTGGAGGTGCTGCTAGGACTGGAGACCCTGAGGCTGAGGGTACCGGTTCTGTCTCTGCTGTTTCTCGAGGCGCTGCCCGGCCGCGGCCGTACTACGTTCCGCTTCTTCAGCAGCTTCTTGGCTCCCCACCTGCTCCTGGTCCTCCTCCTCCTTCTCTGAGTCCACCGCCTGTCCCGTCTCAGTCGCAGTTACAGCCGGCTTCTCCGCTGCTTGGTCCTTCTCCTTACTCTGGTCCGACTAGAGGTCTTACGGAGCGTCATGAGCCTGAGTCGCGTCCTGTGTCGCCTGCGTCTCGTTCTTTGTCGCCTGTCCGTTCTGTTCGCGCTGGTCGTGTTTCGCGTCCGCGTCTTCCTCCTGTCCCTGGCACTCACTCTATGACTCTGCGTCCTTCCACTGCTCCACGGCGTGTCCCTCTGCCCTCTCCTTCTGCGTCCTCTCTTCCTGACGCTCCGGACCCGGAGTCTGACTCCCTTCGTGCTGCTAGTCCTACTGTCACGCGCTTTCTGGCCACTGCTGTCACTGACCCCCTGTTTGAGTTCTCTGCTGCATCTGCTCTTGTTGCTGAGCTTGTTGACTTTGCTGCAGCCTGTCGCCTAGACTACGCCGCTAGTCTTGTTGCTGAGTCTGCGTCTGTGTCTGTCTGTCCTCCGTCCGTCGGGGGTGAGTGTGCTCTTGGCACGGACGTCGTTGAGGACAGGCAGGAGGACCTTGAGTGCTTTGCTGCTGCTTCACCTCATCTCGTGTCCATGCTGCTTGCCCCTGAGGGAGACCCAGATGCACTAGACATCCCGACCCCGCGCTCTTGAGCAGAGGCGATAGAGGGTCCCTACTCCTCCCAGTGGCAGGCAGCCATGGACGCAGAGATGGCTTCCTGGAAGTCCACAGGCACCTACGTAGACGAGGTTCCCCCACCTGGGGCGAACATCGTCAGTGGCATGTGGATCTTCAGGGTGAAGCGGCCGTCGGGTTCTCCGCCTGCCTTCAAGGCGCGTTACGTTGCACGTGGCTTCAGTCAGCGACAGGGAGTTGACTTCTTTCAGACCTTCTCCCCTACCCCGAAGATGACCACTCTTCGGGTACTGCTGCACGTTGCTGCTCAGCGTGACTACGAGCTCCACTCGCGTGACTTCAGCACAGCCTTCCTACAGGGCAGCCTGCACGAGGAGATCTGGCTGCGCCGCCCACCTGGCTTCACTGGGTCGTTTCCTCCTGGTACCCAGTGGAGCCTCCGGCGGCCAGTCTACGGTCTGCGCCAGGCGCCCCGTGAGTGGCACGACACGCTCAGGACGACTCTTGCTGCTCTTGGTTTTGCTCCTTCCACTGCTGACCCTTCTCTGTTTCTACGCACTGACGCTACTCTGCCGCCGTTCTACGTTCTTGTGTACGTAGACGACCTTGTCTTTGCTACTGCTGACACGGAGGCACTCGCCCACGTGAAGTCCGAGCTGCAGAAGAGACACACGTGCACAGACCTGGGTGAGCTCACAAGCTATCTTGGCTTGCGGATCACCCGGGACAGCGCACCATTACCTTGACTCAGTCACACATGGTGCAGCAGGTCCTTCAGCGCTTCGGCTTCACCTACTCCTCGCCACAGTCCACTCCTCTGCCTACCGGTCACTCGCTCTCAGCTCCACCTTCGGACGAGTCCGTAGAGCCGAGTGGCCCGTATCCAGAGCTCGTGGGCTGCCTCATGTACCTGATGACTTGCACACGACCTGACCTCGCATACCCTCTCAGCCTTTTGGCTCGTTACGTGGCTCCCGGCAGGCACCGAAAGGTGCACTGGGATGCTGCGAAGAGGGTGTTGCGATACTTGTGCAGTACATCGGGCATGGGGCTCGTGCTTGGAGGACGGGCTCGAGTTGTCCTCACTGGTCACGCTGACGCCTCCTGGGTTGACGACTTGGCTACGCAGCGGTCGTCACAGGGTTACACCTTCAGTCTTGGCTCCGGTTCTGTCTCCTGGCGGTCTACCCGCTCTTCTTCTGTTCTCAACTCCAGTTGTGAGGCTGAGATCTACGCTGGGGCCATGGCTGCACAGGAGCTTCGCTGGCTCACCTACCTGCTGACCGACTTGGGAGAGGCGCCTCGTTCTCCTCCAGTTCTGTACGTCGACAACAAGGCCATGCTGGCCTTGTGTCAGGAGCACAGACTGGAGCACAGAACGAAGCACATTGCTCTGCGCTACTTCCTTGCTCGAGAGTTGCAGCAGCGTGGCCAGCTTCGTCTTGCTTACGTGGCCTCTCAGGCCAACACTGCTGATGTCTTCACCAAGGCACTTCAGCCTTGTGATCATCAGCGTTTCTGTACTGTGTTAGGCCTTGTACCTACTGTGCCTCACTTGTTGACTTCTTGACTCTGCTTGTACTGTACTCTATATACTTATACCTGCATGCTTACACTTGCTAGGTTGTGTTCACTGTATTGTTTGCTTTCCTTTATATAACTCTGCATGTGAACCGGTCTTCTGGCCCTTTGCTTGTGCTCAGACTGTGTGGTGACTTTGTGATCCACCCTGAGTTTGCTTTGTCTTTCTTGACTGGTCTTGTGACCCCTTGTTCTCCCCCACTTTGCCTATGGGGGTGTGTCAAACATATATTTACTATAGTCGGTCTAGGCTGTAGTGGGGTAGTCCTTAGAGGGTACAACACTTATGTGTTTCCTACTTGTACCCTTCTCATTTTCCTAATTCAATCATTCTTTCGTCTATCTTTCTCACAAAGTTCGCCATCGCCCCGATCAACCTCACCACCCCCTTCCGCACTCCTCCTCCTAGCCACGAACCCGACACCACATCGCTCTCCATCGAGGACCATCGACTCTATCAGCAGCAGCTGGGGTGTCTCTTGTTCGCCGCCGTCACGTGCCGGCCCGATCTCTCCTACATCGCAAGCCAGCTCGCTCAGTACCTGAAGCGGCCTGAAGGGGAGAATCTACTGGATCTATGCCGAGCACTTCAATACTTCGTTTCTACTCCTGACGTCGGACTCACCTACGAAGCTAACCTCACGGCTACCCTACAGCTTCATGGCTACGTTGACGCAGACCACACGGGAGATATTGGCAACAGACGCTCCCGCACATGATTCATTTTTCAACTCCAACCTGCCAGACTCATCTCTTGGAACTCCGAGAAACAGGAGCTCATTGCACTTTCGTCAGCCGAAGCTGAGTTCATCGCCGCCAGCGCAGCTGTTCGCGAAGGACTGTATCCAATGGAGCTCCTGCAGAAAGTGAAAGTGACGATGAACGGGCACTTCACGTTACTCTTCGACAACCAGAGCGCGATCAAGATCGCGAACAAGCCCGGCTTCGTGAACCGCACGAAACACATCGCACTCCGTTACTTCTTCGTTAAAGACGAGATTGACAAAGGCAAGGTCAAACTCACGTATTGCCCAACTGGTGACATGGCAGTAGGTTTCTTGACCAAGAAGCTGCTACGTCAGAAGTTTCAGGAATGAAGGGGGGTGTTGGAATAACCGAAAGGTCAAAGTAACATTCCCGAAGGATCTCCACTCACGCGTCACTTCATAACGAAGCAACGCGTCTGCAGCAGTACCCAATCAGGGGAAAAAAACACCAACACTTTTTGGATAAGGGTAAGAATCTACGAAGCCTGATTTAGAAAGGGTAACTCTGAAAAAGCGGCCCACCCCCAGGGTAGTCAGGGCATTTTACCCTGATATTTTGGGCCATGCTATCCGCTCACTGCACGGGAGACGCATTCTATATATAAATATGTTTTTCTGCTCGCCATTTTCCACCAATTCAGTGGGGGTTTCGGTCGAAATGCCTGTACGCTGTACAGAGAAAAATGCATTCGCCGGAAATTTACACTGGTCTATCAGAGTAGCTAAAATAAAAACCCTGGCAAATCAGAGAAAACTTATCTTCCAAAAAAACTACCCAGAAACATCAGAGTGACCCCCCCAAAATCACTCTGATTTTCAGAGAAACAGAGTAATTTACTCTGATAAAATAAGCCCTGATCAGGAGTGCCCTCAGAGCGGCTAAGGGCAGCAAAATCACAGAACTGCTGCATCTCCCCCTCCCCCACCAATGCTTCAAACGGCAGTCAGGGTGGGGGGGCTGTGTCAACACCAACTCACAGAACAGCTGCATCTCCCCCTCCCCCACCTGCAGATGCAGCCACACACATAGCTCGCTGCGCACACACCAAAACCCATCAGCAACACTACATCTGATACCCCAGGAGCGCATCGGCTGTCCCTTCAGAGCGGCAGAGGGCAGCAAAATCCGCCACCAGCGCTTCAAACCGCTGCCTTGGCAGCGGGGGCTGTCTCAGCACCAACTCACAGAACAGCTGCATCTCCCCCTCCCCCACCGCCTCTGGCACGCCCCGTTGGAAGTCAGGTGAACGTAACGCGGTAACCAGCCAGTTGGGGAGGAGCGGGTGGAGGTCCGGGAGGAGGATGAGGTGGTGGAGAGTGGTGGCGATGGGTCTGAGTAGGTCTCTGGGGGCTTTTCCGGCTGCTGCTAGGAGGAGGGATGAGACGACTGGTTGGCCCTGATGCTGCAGACTCGTTATAATCACAGGTTGGGCACTGGGGGGGTTTAGGGCAAGGGGAGAAGGGGGGCAAGGGGTGAGCAGGGGCAAGGGGAGAGGAGGGGCAAGGGGAGAGGAGGGGCAAGGGTAGACGGGAGAGGGGAGGGGAGATAGGAGGGAGGAGACTATTGGTTGGCCCTGGTGCTGCAGACTCGAACAGTTATGAAACGAGGAATTTAGGGGGAGGGGAAGGGGCGAGGGGTGTGTGGCAAGGGGCGAGGGGCGAGGGGAGGTGAGAGAGGAGGGTTGAGGGGAGAGGAGAGGGATGAGGGGACAAAGCTTGCCCAAGTGAGCCATAGAAGGACAGCGAGAGCTCCGTGCGAGAGGAAGTGAGAGACTGAGAACGTGTAGGAGAGCAACGGTCTTACCTGATCCATGCGGGAGAGGAGAGCGCCCTTTTCCCCGGGGACAGCAGGAAGCAGAGCAGTGTGAGCGCTGACTTGGCGGAATCCCTCTCCCCGTGTGCCACTGTCGCTGCAGCGGCGTCCAGCAGTGCCCCGAGGAAGGGCGCCTGCAGCAGCAGGTGTGGCGCGAAGAGCAGATAGCGATACGCCATGTCGAAGAGGGCTGAGAGCACCTCTGGGCGATGGGGCAGATGGCCTCTCTGTGTGGATGGGAGGGGAGATGGAACGGGAGCGGCTAGGTTATAAAAAGTTTGGATTGGTTTTTGAGGCGCCTCAAAAGGACGGGAGCAGCTAGGTTATAAAAAGATTGGATTGGACGCACGCCTGCAGCAGGCCATGTGGAAGAGCGCTGATAGGACCTCTGGGCGATGGGGGAGATGACTGCGCTGGGAGGGGGGCAGGAGGGAGGCATGTGAAGGAGAGGAGCAGGTGGAGGGTTGAGAGGCGTTGGAAGGGTGCCAGTAGCAGCAGGTGCGGCGCAAAGGGCAGATAGCGGTAGGGCCTAGCCCATGTCGAACAGTGCTGATAGGACCTCTGGTCGGTGGGGGAGATGCCTGCGCTGTGTGGGTGAGTTGGGAGATGAACGGGGAGGGACGATGAAAGGGGAGTTGCATGGGGTTGTGAAGAGCAAAGAGCAAAGGAAGGTTGGGAGCAATGGTAAGCGGAATTGGCCAGACGAGGTCACTCGAAACAAGGAACAAGGCCATGCAAAACAGCGACAGGAAGGCCACTCTCGCCAGGAGCACTGTCTAGCGTGAATGAGAGCGAGAGCACTGATGGAACAGGCCTCCAGTCCTTGCATGCTGAATGCAGAGAAGGGGGAGCCTCACCTGAGACAGGCTCACCTGAGACAGGCTCACCTGAGACAGGCTCACCTGAGACAGGCTCACCTGAGACAGGCTCACCTGAGACAGGCTCACCTGAGACAGACTCACCTGAGACAGACTCACCTGAATGAGAGAGAAAGCACTAATGGAGCAGACAGGGAATGCAGGGCGGAGTGGTAGACAGATAGAGCACCAGCAGCACCAGCACCGCCAGCACCCCCAGCAGACGCAGCGGCACTGAGCTCCAGCACCAAAGCTAGCGCCTCCAATACAGCGGGGTGCTGGTGCTCCTCGAATGCGGTGAATGAGGTCAAGGGAGACAGCAGGCTCACCTGAATGAGCGAGAATGCACTGATGGAGCAGGCTTGCAGGGCGGAGTGACAGATAGATAGATCACCAGCTGCACCCCCAGCAGACGCCGCAGCTGCACTGAGCTCAAGCACCAAAGCCAGCACCTCCAGTACTGCCGGGTGCTGGTGCTCCTCGAATGCGGTGACGAGCGGTGCGATGGATGGCAGGATGGGTGGAGAGGGGTGCTTGAGGCAGAGCAGGGAGTGGCGGAAAAGATGGCAGAGGGCGGTGATGACTTGCGGGTGGGAGCGCCATCGGGGGGAGGAGAGGAGATCGGAGACCAGTGGTGCTGCTGCTTCCATTACTGCTATGCACGGGTGCTGCTGCTGCTGCTGTTGGTGGTTCTGTGATTGCTGCTGTTCCGGTGTGTGCGCCCCTCCGTTCCTCAGTGCTTCGTGCTGCTGTTGTTGCTGCTGTTGTTGTTGGTGGTGGTGTTGTTGTTGCTGGGAGGGCGGCATGCGTCTCAAGGCGTCGTCAAACTCAAGAAAACGCACAGCAGCAGCCAGCAGCAGCAGCTGTGTAGACAGTGACTCTCCCACCCCCTCACCCCCACTCCCACCACTCCCAACCGCACCAAATGCACCACCAGTGCTACTCCTCCCACCACCATCACTGGTAGATCCAAACCCACTGGTCTCATTTGTCTGCATCTGTGCCAGCTGTGCCGCCAGCTGTATGTGTGGCGAGGTGAGGCTGAGAGCAAGAGGGGCCGCGGTGGAGGGGGGGAGGGAGGCAATAACCCTCGCCTGCCCTTCCATTAGGGCCTGCCGGATCTCTAGGTCTAACGAGTGAGGGGAGGCGGGGTGGGAAGAGGGCGCGTGAGAGTGCGACGAGGGGAAGGAGAAGGAGAAGGAGGAGGAGGAGGAGAAGGAGGAGAAGGAGGAGGAGGAGGAGGAGGAGAGGGAGGAGGAGAAGGAGGAGGGGAGGTGGGCGGTGCCGCGGGGGCGGGAGGCGATGAGGGAGGTGGAGGGGAGGGCGGAGAGCGTGGCAGTCATAAGGTGTTGGAGCAGGGAGGGTGCGTTGAGACGCGGAGCACAACGGGCGCACACGGCTCTGAACGCACCTGCTGCACTGCGCACTGCCTCTGGTACCTGGGGGGTTGGGTAAGGATGAGAGTAGGGGAAGGATGTTAGAATTGTATGTTCTAGCATGTTGTGACTGTACACCAATTGTGGTGTACAGTTGGGTTGGGACTACACCCAACTTTGGGTGTAGTCTTGCATTGTGGGGTGCCAATCCAACCCAATTGTGGTGGAGCCCCCAAATGCAACCCACTTGACCTTAGGTTGCCTCACTTCCCAAAGTGAGGCCAACCCAACCTATGGTCAACCCAACCTTTCTCCTTCAACCTTCTCTTCCTTGTATAACCTTGTGCTCTCTTGAGCTAATGTCAATCATTCTTCCTCAAGTTTCTACAGCTCCTAGTTTCTTTCAAAGGACAGGGGAACAAGGGAGGGAAATGCACAGAAGAGAAGAGAGAGAGGGGGAGGTGAGGCGGGAGGCACAGCACGAGACGCATTGCGCATTGCGCACTGCCTCTGGTACTGAATGCGCACGGCACAGCGGGCACAGAGGACAAACACGGCACTGAATGCACCTGCTGCACTGCGCACTGCCTCTGGTACCTGGGGGAAGAGAGGAAGGGGTGTTGGGGGGAGGAGGAATACGGAAGGAGACAATGTGCAGGAGAGAAATAAGGAACACTGAGGTGCAGGGCACAACGGGCACACACGGCCCTGAACGCACCTGCTGCACTGCGCACTGCGGAGGGGAGATTGAGGGTGGTAGAGCAGGGAGGTGGAGGGTGGAGGGGGGAGAGGGTTGCAGTCATGAGGTGTTGAGGGAATAAGTGGGAAGGGGAAAGCGAAATGTGCGGACGAGAGACCCTATTATCTGGCCCCCAAAACGTGGGTCGAACTTGGCCATCAAGCACACAGAAACCCGATCATCTTGGCTCACCATTGCCAAGATGATCCCCCCCCTCCCCCATAGTTTCCCAGCTCAACTTAGTGGTTGCGGCCAATCATGCTGGGCTGGGTACCAACCCCCCCAGGTGAGTTTTGAGTCGACTCAAAACTCGGCTGGCTGGGTACCAACCCCCCCTTCCTACTCACATCTATCCATACCCCATCCTTTTGGAATCGAAACGACAACTCTTCCTCGCATTCTCTGTGTCTAACAGTTAGCAGGAGGAGAATAAGAGATTTGTTGCATGGAGTTGAGGCATTCCTTGCAGGGCTTTAGGGAATGAGCTGCAGGGCTTGAAGGGAGGTACCTCAAGGGCTTGAAGGGAGGTACCTCAAGGGCTTGAAGGGAGGTACCTCAAGGGCTTGAAGGGAGGTACCTGAAGGGCCTTTAGGAGGTAGCCGATGACACCGAGAAGACAGTCGGGCTGGAGGTTGAGCCAATCAGCGAAGGAGCCAATGAGGAGGCAACATGTGTCCACCAGCAGGGGGTGCGACGCCAGGAAGCATCCTGTCTCCGCGTCTCGGCTCACGCGCACCATCACGCCCCCCAGCACCGCTGCCATGCGCTGCTCCCTCTCCCCGTATGCCTCCAGGTTTAGTAGCCGCTTCTTCACTGAAGGAGTGTGTGGTTGGATGCATGGGAGTGGGAAATGGGTAGATATTTCCAGGAAGCTGCAAAAAATCACCCCCCCCCCAGCACTGCTGCCATGCGCTGCTCCCTCTCCCCGTATGCCTCCCGATTCAGTAGCCGCTTCTTCACTGGTGGGGAGCACTAGAGGGGGGAAGTTGGGAGAGATGGGGTGCAAAGGGGCTTCATGGGGTAAAGAAATTTGGGGGGTTGAGGGGAAGTTTGGGAGGGTGGGTGGTTGAGGGTTAAAACAAGAGAGCATTATTGTAGCTAGAGCAGCGGAGCACCAGAAGAGCGGTGCAACTGACAAAAACATGGGTGGGGGCGAGCAACGCCAGGGCAGCGAGCAAGCCAGGGCAGCAGAGCACACACACATGCTTCCCCTTGCCATACCACTGCGGGTTGCTATGATGTAGGTATTCCCTTTTGAGAAGTTTTGAGATTTCCATATCGCCATGATGCAAGAGGTGCGATGCAACTGACATGAGCGTGAGTCTGTGTGAGGTGGCAAGCGAGCAGCGTGAGGTGGCAGGCGAGCAGCGTGAGGTGGCAGGCGAGCAGCGTGAGGTGGCAGGCGAGCAGCGTGAGGTGGCAGGCGAGCAGCGTGAGGTGGCAGGCGAGCAGCGTGAGGTGGCAGGCGAGCAGCGTGAGGTGCCAGGCGAGAAGCGTGAGGTGCCAGGCGAGCAGCGTGAGGTGGCAGGCGAGCAGCGTGAGGTGGCAGGCGAGCAGCCCTACCTGCCTGTGCAGCGGATCGCAGCATGAAGAGCGATGCCTCTGCTGCCTGCCATGTGCCTGCGCTCTGCATGATGGTGATGCATGGGATGGAATGGTGTGGTGTATGGAAAGAATCACATCATGGCATGAAAAGTTTTCAAAGAGCGACGCCTCTGCGACCTGCCATGTAGGGACACTCTTTGGTGATGATGGTGATGCATGGGATGACATGGGATGGCATGGGATGGCATGGGATGGTATGGGATGGCATGGGATGGCATGGTATGGTGTGGTGATGGGATGACACGGCATGGTGTGGTATAAGGAAAGGTGTATCATGGCATGTGAAACCATGAACGTGAGTGACCATATCAGATGTGCCCCCACCCACGCCCACCAGCAGGGAGGTGCCCCCACGATCCTTATACTCCACTCCAGTGGCAGCAGCCCAAACCAAAGTGGTGAACACATTGGCATCATGGTTGGCTACCCCTGTGTCCAGTCACGGCATCACATCAGGTCCCTTGCTCTCGCTCGCACCTGCAATGAGCTGCCCCCACCCACGCCCACCTGCAATGACCTGCCCCCACCCACGCCCACCTGCAATGACCTGCCCCCACCCACGCCCACCTGCAATGACCTGCCCCCACCCACGCCCACCTGCAATGACCTGCCCCCACCCACGCCCACCTGCAATGACCTGCCCCCACCCACGCCCACCTGCAGGGACGCCCCCACGCGGTCCATGTACTCCAGTGGCAGCAGTGCAAAGTGGGTAAAGCAATGCCATCACCATTACCCATGAGCCGAGTCATGGCATCAGGATGAGGGTCCCTTGGTGTCGCTCGCACCTGCAGGGAGGACCCCACGCGGTCCATGTATTCCACTGGCAGCAGCCCAAACGCCATGTGCAGCCCATCCGCTGCTAGCTGCCAGGTGAAACCAACAGAGACCGGGTGGGATGGCAGGTGAAATCAACAACAATCTAACGAGTGCAAGTGTTTGTGCTGTGGCTCATGCGATGGACATATGGTAGGCTAAAAGAACAAAACATGCGACTTTTGAGTTGACTCGGAAGTCACCTCATCCGATGAGCATGGGATGGGTGGGCTCATGAGATTAAGATGAGCATGGGATGGGTGGGCTAATGAGATTGAGATGAGCATGGGATGGGTGGGCTCATGAGATTGAGATGAGCATGGGATGGGTGGGCTCATGAGGTTGAGATGAGCATGGGATGGGTGGGCTCATGAAACAACCAGCTTCCAGAGAAGCAACATGGGCTTCAACACAGAAACAACATGGGCTTCAACACAGAAACAACATGGGCTTCAACACAGAAGCAACATGGGCTTCAACACAGAAGCAACATGGGCTTCAACACAGAAGCCAGAGGAGAAAGGGGATTGCAATCACCTGGTCTCTTCTCTGTTGCAATCACCTGGCCTCTGTTGCGATCACCTGGCCTCTGCTGCAATCACCTGGCCTCTGTTGCGATCACCTGCCCTCTGTCGCAATCACCTGGCCTCTGTCGCAACCACCTGGCCTCTGGTGCAATCACCTGGTCCCTGAAGCGGTAGAAGGCGTCAGCATCTTCCTGGTTGTCAGCCCATGATGTGAATGATGGCGGATAGGCAGCCTGCAAGTGGGGGAGAGAGGGAGGGAAGAGGGAGGGACAGGAGGAAGGAAGCGAAGGGGTGCTGCTTTGCGCTGATATAGGCGCTCTATGACACGATGTGAACGATGGCGGATAGGCTGCCTGCAGGTGGGGGAGGGAGGGATGGGGTGTAGAGGTGTCCCGTGAGTTGACTCAAGCACTCAACACACTAACAATTTTGATATGACCACTCGCAGGGTGGTAGGCACTCTGCAAGCAAGGCGCCCCCCACCGCTGCTCTCCGCCTTCCTCCGCCTGCTGCTCACCTGGCTGCACCTGGCTGCACCTGGCTCCATCCATGCACGCATGTTGCGCGCGGGGAAGCATGGGTGGATGCAACAGAGAGAAGAAAGTGAGACGATGGAGTGAAACAGAGGGAGTGGAGGGGGATAAATGGAGGAGAGGAGGGGGGATACAATGGAGGAGAGGAGGGTACATCATATTCACTCACAGTTTGCAGCCTGATAGGCCAGAAGTTCTACTAGGTTGGCACTAGGATGGCCAGCACTAGCCCTGAACGCACCCTGTGGAAGTAGAAGCCATAGTGCTGGCCATCCTAGTGCCATGAGCCTGAGTCTACACCCTTGAATAGGGCCACCATTCCCATGAGCCTTGGAGAGGTTAGGGTGTACGGCCTTGGAGAGGGGTGGATCCTCTCCTCTCCTCTCCCCTTCCCTGCTACAATACAGCACTGCGACCTTTACCAGGGCAGAGGGCCCATTCCACGGCGTGCCTAGGTGACCCGTGGTACAGCACTGTGGCTTCTAACGCATTGGGAGAGCTCCTACTGTCCAACACTACATTTGCACTCTTACTCCCTCACACTATCCAACACTGTTTACCTTGGTTGTGAGGGTTTCAGCGAGGCGAAGGAAGAGCGCCCCTCGGTACCCCTCACTCCTCTCATTCACCGCCACAATGTTCACAGCTGAAAAGAACTCCACCACGCCATCTGCACTCGCCTCCACCTCCTCCGCACTCTCCCCCTCGCCGCCCTCCCCGCCCCCCCACGCTCCCCCGCCCCCTGCAGCGCACGCCAGCACGACCTCCCCCACAGCCACGCCCTCGGGCGCACGCGGGTCCGTGAGCGCCTCTGGGTGCTCCTCTGCCACAGCCACTGCCACGGCGCTCAACCCCCTCTGCACTGCGCGCCTGGCCTGGTGTGACCACGTGCCTGAGTGTGCCTGGGCCACGTCCCATGCGTCAAGAAGGGCCTTTAGCACAGATGATATGACTGGTGCTGACGCATCTGGTGCTGGGGGAGGAAAGGTGGGAACGGGGAAAGGGGGGAAGGGAGGGGAGGGATGCATGTGAGCGCCTCTGGGTGCTCCTCTGCCACGGCCACTGCCACGGCGCTCAACCCCTCTTCACTGCACGCCTGGCTTCGTGGCTCCAGGTGCTTGAGTGTGCCTGGGTCACGTCCCAGGCGTCAAGGAGAGCCTTGAGCACGGTGGATATGACTGGCACTGACGCATCTGGAGCTGCGGGGACGGAGGGGGAGGAAGGGAGGAAGGGATGAAGCCTCGGGCGCACGCGAATTGTGATGTGATGTTCAATACTGCGAATTGTCACATATGACATGTGATGTGATGTTCAATACTGCGAATTGTCACATATGACATGTGATGTGATGTTCAATACTGCGAATTGTCACATATGACATGTGATGTGATGTTCAATACTGCGAATTGTCACATATGACATGTGATGTGATGTTCAATACTGCGAATTGTCACATATGACATGTGATGTGATGTTCAATACTGCGAATTGTCACATATGACATGTGATGTGATGTTCAATACTGCGAATTGTCACATATGACATGTGATGTGATGTTCAATACTGCGAATTGTCACATATGACATGTGATGTGATGTTCAATACTGCGAATTGTCACATATGACATGTGATGTGATGTTCAATACTGCGAATTGTCACATATGACATGTGATGTGATGTTCAATACTGCGAATTGTCACATATGACATGTGATGTGATGTTCAATACTGCGAATTGTCACATATGACATGTGATGTGATGTTCAATACTGCGAATTGTCACATATGACATGTGATGTGATGTTCAATACTGCGAACTGTCACATATGACATGTGATGTGATGTTCAATACTGCGAATTGTCACATATGACATGTGAGATTCACTTACCTTGGGGCTCTGATTGGCTGACGTGACAAGAGCCACCAGAATATTGGCGCTGGTGGTGGCAGGCAGTGACAGGTGGGTGGGGGAATGCGAGCGAGCGACTTGTGAGGCGCAGCACATCAGGAAGTGACCCACCTTGGTTGTGGTTGATTTGATTGACAATAAATGAACCCACCCACCTTGGGCCTCTGATTGGCCGACAAGGGCCACCAGAATATCGGCACTGGTGGCCGCGACAGGTGGGTGGGGCGATGCGAGCGAGCGGAGAACAAAGTGCCAGAGGAAGGGGAAGGCGGTGCTGAGCTGGCACGCTGTGATTGGCTGCTGGCCCACGGAGGCGAAGTCGACGTGCAACCAGGTGAGGAGCAGGCGGAAGGCGGAGAGCATGGGTGGGGGGTGGGGGGGGAGGTGCGGGGGGAAGGAGGGGGAGGAGAGGGAGGGGCTGTGGCGCTGCGAGTAGGTCTGGATGATCTGCAGCAGGTCCGGGAAGCGGGTCTGGAGGCATGGGGAATAAAGGATGGAGGGATGGAGGGATGGATGGGGGAATGGAGGGATGGAGGGGACACGGGGACAAAGGCAAGGAGAGAAGTCCTGGGTAAGGGAATGTGGCAGAATGGGGAGGGAGGTGATAGATATGGAGTCTGTTTCAGAGGCGCCCCAGAATCGGCAGCAGTGTGGCGTGCACTGCACTGCACTGCACTGCACTGCACTGCACACAGGCCAGCCAGGACACCATAGAGAAAACTACCTTCATGGAAGTCAACGCTAGTCAACGCTAGTCAGCGCTAGTCGACGGTAATCAGTGATTTCTAGTGCGCGCATACCCGGATGAGCGCGAGGGTGATCTCCGTGTTGCGCCTATCCAGCTGCTCCGCCTCTTCCGCCACCCCCTGCAGCACCGCCACCACTACCGCCAGCGCCGGATCGCTTGCGCTTCCCCCGCCCCCGCCCCCGCCCCCGCCCCCGCCCCCCAACCCGTGTGCCCCAGCTCCCCCCTCGCTCTTCTCCGCCACGTCAGCGGCGCGCAGCACGACGTCCAATAGCGTGCTGGCATTCAGCGCGTGTTGATTGGCCGACCGCAGCGCGACCGCCGCCACGACGAGGCAGACGCGGGAGAGAACGACAGGTGGCACGCTGCTATTGGTCATGTAAGACGCGACCAGGCGCAGCAGATGCGCGCCGAGCTCCGCGCGCGAGTCTGGGGGGAGAGCGGAGAGATCGGAGCGCGCTTTTGAAAGAAGGAGATTGGCGCAGAAGTAACGGACTTCCATTGACTGCGCTGACTCGACGAGACTCGCGGCGACGCCCCATGCGGCGGGGGTTGCGGCGAAAGAGGTGAGCCATGCGTTGGCCTGAGACTTGCGATCCGGGGAGGGGTCGGTGTAGAGAATGGACACGGCCTCGACCACTTGTGAGGCGTCCATCGCTGAACGCTCGTAACTACTGGCCTCTAGATCGCGGACCGCCATTATCTGAGGTGCTGGGAGGATAAGGGCGTGTCCCACGAGTTCATTTGTGGAAACAATCGTAATTGTTAGGTAACTTCGACAAAGCAGCGTAGTGTACACTATGACGAAAAAATAACGCATCGCGTCACCACTCCACCAAACGAAGTTGCACCATGCGGACTCAGCACCCCGTTCACACAAAACTCGTATCCCGAATCATATTCGTCATAGTTCGCGAGAGGTAACCCGGACCGGTTGCGAACCTATAGTGCCAAAATTGGCCGTTCGCCTTTTCTGGGCAAATCCTGGGATTGGGAATTAGGGTTACGCGGATCTGTTCGAGGTGATGGTACGTACATTGACAGCTGTTTTATGCTTTCATCAACAGAGTTATCAGCAGCTCCATGGATCCTTCTCTGGCTGCTGCGCGCGTCAACACCAGTGGTTTCAAGCATCAAGTTTCCCAGGTCTCTTTGGAAAGCAACTACCAGGGCAGGGAACCATTCTCTAAGGCGCCTTGCACAACCTCTGGTCTGGATCTGCAACGGTTTGCCTTCAAGCACAGGAGATATAAATCGCTGGTTTCCAGTCAGTATGTGCTCAGAACAGCTTGTTTTTCAGCCATTTCTCGGCTGTTAAGCATATCTCATCATCGCATCATGGCGAAGGGACGCAACAGCAGGAATGGCAAGAAAAGCGTGGACAATGCGCAGGCTAAGGGAGTGTCGGACGTACCTGACGTACCTGTGGCGGGTCCCGTCGGTGGTGAGAAATCGCCTGCAAGCTCGGCGTCGGACACGGTTTTGGGTCCTTTCGAAGCTCTCCTGGATCTGCCGATTGGTGCTGAGCAAGCTGCTGGATCAAGCCAGAAAGAGTCGGATGGGAAGGAAGAATCTGCTGCTCATCTGCAAGACCCTGATGCGGAGGGGGGATCAAAGGATGAGGATGCTGCCGGTGACATTGACAACAACGGTGATGACTTGCAGCAATCTGAATCCCCTGGGGATGAGGATGATGGTTACCTGAGTGATGACTCTGACGAACATCTGGATCCGGATTCGCTTAACAGTGTCATTGCTCTTAAGCGATTCTCACTAACCTTACTGGTGCCGATTCTCAGGAGTGTTGAAGTCAAGCGTGCTGCAGTGACAGTAGCTGCGATGCTGGATGAATGGAAGGAGCTGCTATCGTCAGAAGTGCTGCAGACTACGACGTACCAAGATCTAACGGCGGTGTACTTCTCTGGTGCACGCTACGGACGGCTGCAAGTCACTTTCAACAATGTCCGGGACGCAAATTTTGTCTGGAATCAAGTCATTCGCCATGAGTGCGTAAACGGAGACTTCATTGATCTCGCCTGGCAGCATCCGGAGGACGCGCGTTTTCTCCGTGAGCGTGTGCTGAACCCCATGGCTAAGGAGATTGTGGTTAAAAATGTACCGGCGGACTTAACAGCGGAGTTGATTCGTCGGCTGTTGGTGGTGTCGAAGCTGGTCAAGAGAGGAAGGAGTGCGTTCGTCAGCGGCTTTGGCTTCCATCGGGTGGTTGACCCAGTGACTGGGCTGGATACTGATCGCATCCGTGGTCTGATTATCCCGCACGCTGGTGATGAGTATCGGTGGAGGTATTTTGTGGAAGACCCTACCACAGGGAAGCGTTACCTGCTGCACTACCCGTCGCTGACCTGTGACCTTTGTGGGGGTCAGCATCTGTCGCGGTACCACGATCGTTACGTCACACCGAGGCAGGAGAACTTCAGCAACTGGAACCTGTCTGTTAAGAAGGTTCACGAGATGAACGGTATAAGCAGTGGGGAGCCTTGCCCGCTGTCGGTGTGCTCCTTGCCTCTTGTTCTTACCCTCTCCCACGATACTGACGGATCTCTATCTTTCCCTCCTCGCAGCTGCTTCCTTGATAGCTTCAGACCTCCTGAAACGCATCATGAGGGACCCGGCAGTTATCCTTTCTTCTACCGGGGGTGCGCGGGAGGAGTGGATCTGTGTTCAGGCATCATGCGAGAAGGCACAGGGAAACCGCTTCGAACAAGCATCTGCGCACATCGCATCAGCTCGGCACAAAGGGGGGCTCAAGAAGGAGGGATCGGCAACGCGTGTCAGTGTGTCTTCTCAGAAGATGATTGCGTTCAAGAGGGAGTACGTTGCAAAATCGGCGAAGTGAGGAACAACTGCAGCACGGGGGGGATTGCTTCACAGCAACATGGTCGCGTTTTCCGCCGTAACACCCAGGAGGGAACTTCTCGAATAATCTGCCCAGGGAGGCTGAAGGCAGTGGAAACATGGGAGGTTCAGAGGGAGAAGGTGACTCAGGAGCTTCATGCAGTAGCAGTAGGTGGAACAGTAGTTTGCATCTCGCTAGCATCAGCAGTAATCTGTGGTGTCATCTTGGCAGCAAGAAACTTTAAACGTTGGAGGCTGTTGACAGCAGCGAAGCGTGACGCAACACAACTTTCAGACCCGTGGATGAAGAGGGGTCTTAATCAGTGGTCAAATGGATAAAAACCATGAACTTACCATCGGCGCGCTCAATGTCAATGGATTGGGCCGCGCGGAGAAGCAAGAGGGTTTGCAGGAGTGGCTTAACAAGTCAAGGGGAATCGTAATACTTACAGACACAAGGTTGCAGGAAGACCACAACTTCTGGACTCAAACAGGGTCGGAGGCGAGGGCAGTGGTCTCGTCTGCTGACACGGCAGGAGGGGTGGCAGTGTTGAGCTTTAACAAAGAGGTTGTTTTCAGTGATACCCGTGTACATGAGTCGGGAAGACTGGTAGCGGTTTCTGTTCGTTGGAGGGAGCTGGCATGGACGCTGGTAGCAGCGTATTTTCCTGCTCAAACAACGACAAGGGGGGCCTTCTACAGAGAGTGCCTGTCAGTTTTTGTGGACACACTTCCGGCCTCGGGTCATCTGCTGTTGGCGGGCGATCTGAATATGGTGGCTGACCCTATCATGGATAAGACATCAAAGGGGGGTTCGGATGCGGAAAATCAAAGGGTGCTGGACTTTTTTTCGAGGTGGGACCTGAAGGATGCATTCAGAACGTTATATCCGTCGAAGCTGGAGTATACTTTTCTTGCGAGGTCGACGATGACGAGCTCGCGTATTGATCGCGCGCTGGTTTCGGCCTCGTTGTTACCAGTGTTGGCGGATGCGTATCATATGGCGACTCCGGTGGGAGTCACTGATCATTGGTTTGGTGTCACCACAGTGCTGGCGGCAAAGACGGGAACAGAGGGGGGACCTGGGTTATGGAGAATGCATGCTGCGCAAGCAAGCAGTCCGGGGGTGCGGAACACGATTCAGAAGGTGCTACAAAGTCAGTCAGGGCAGGGGGGGAAGAAGCTGCAGTCCACCTTCACCATGCTGCAGGCCAGCCTCAAAGCCCATGCAAGGGAGGAGAGGAAGAGGATTGGGAGAACCATCGCTCACCTGGAGGATAGGGTAGCTGCGTTGAGACAGGAGTTTATGGCGGATACGGGTTTACAAGGTAAATTTGATGAGCTGGTGAAATTCGAAGCGCAGCTGAAAGCATACAGAGACAGCCAAAGGAAGCGGAAGCAGACGATGGCAGGAGTAGGAGAGGAAATGGCTGGGGAGATTGCGACAAAATTCTTAACCAGGAGGATTGCGTCCAAGAAAGCAAAGACGTTGATTAAGATGGTGGTTCATGACGGGAGATGCTACGATGGGGAAAGAGAGGTGCTGTCGGCAGCATCGGATTTTTTCACCAAACTTTTCCAGGGTAAAACGCAATCTGCTGAGGTGGAAGAGTGGCCGATAGACCCGCAAAAGGTTTTGGATGGTGAGGGGGTGAGCCGCTTAGCTGCGCCATGGTCGGAAGCGGAGGTGAAAAAAGCGATAAAGGAGCTCCCGAGAGGCAAGGCGCCAAGAGCGGATGGTCTGCCGAAGGAGCTGTTGGAAGACAATTGGGACCTGTTGGGGGTCACTGTGATGGACTTCATGAGGGAGTTTGAGGCTACTGCGAAACTGCCGGAAAGCTTCTCAACGGCGGTAACGATCCTTCTGCATAAAAAGGGGGAGAAGACAGATCTGGGTAACTACCGGCCGATTACACTTCTAAGCGCGGTGTACAAGATAGTCGCGAAGCTGCTGGCGAACAGGATGAAAAAAGTATTGCCGCAAGTTATCTCGGAGAACCAGTTCGGCTTTGTCCCAGGCAGGAGGCTTGCGGATGCGGTCAAAGTGGTAGCGGACACGATCGATGCTGCGGTGCAAGGGAGTGAGGACTGGTGCTTACTTCTTGTCGACTTCCAAAAGGCCTACGACTCAGTGTCGCGCACCTTCCTCTTCCGCACGCTGGAACAGATGGGCTTTCCGGAGGTCTTCATTAAGTGGTCCAAAGGGCTTCATGACCAGGCAGCGACACAGCTCCTAATAAATGGATGGCTGGGAAAGAAGGTTGAGGTTGAGTCAGGAGTACGGCAAGGGTGCCCGCTGGCGCCGTATCTCTTCATCTGCGCAGCAGAGCCACTAAGTCAGGAGGTTAAAAGAAGGAAGTTGGGGCTGCGGAAGAGAGGGAAAGGGGACCTGTCATACCTGGGGTATGCTGACGATACGACGCTTATACTTCAAGGCAAGGAGCAGCTGGCAAAGGCGCAGGAGGTACTGGAGGACTTCGGCGTCAGGTCAGGGCTGCAAGTTAACCGGGGGAAGTCAACAGTGATGCGGCTGGGGAGAAACAGGCTGCTCCCTTCGCAAACCGACACGAGTTTCAGCTGGGCAGAAAGGGACAAACCGGAGAGACTGTTAGGTATCTGGGTTACGGCAGACGGGAAAGCGGAGCCGACATGGGAGAAAACGCTGGAGCGGGTCAACACGATACTGCGAAACTGGGAAAAGCTGCACCTTACCACAACAGCGAGGGTAACGGTTCTGAACGCTTACGTGATGCCGGTGATACTCTTCCAGGCGCAAGTCTATCAGCCGCCGAAGCTGATTTGGAAGAGGATTCTGAAGTTATGTCACAACTTCATATCGAAAGGGTGCGCGGATGAGGAGAAGCACTTTATCCTTTGGAGCGAGTTCCTGGCAAACCTGGAAAGGAAGGGAGGGGGACTCGGTGTGATTAACCCGACGGACAGAATCAACAGTCAGGCGTTATGGAACCTCGGGGCAGCCCTGCTGGAAGAGAACTCGATAAAGCAGTGGTTGATGGAGAAGGCGGCGAACATGCCCCTGGGTTGGGCAACATTGCTGGCGCATAAGGCCATTCTTGCTGAGTGGAAGGGAGGCGGGGAGCGGTGGCAGTCGTTGGTGCCGCTCGTATGGGAGAAACAACTGCTGGAGCTACCGGAACCTGCGGACAGGTGGGAGATGGAGAAGGAACAGTTGTGGCTCAGCAAGTGGATTCACTATCAAGGCAGTAGCCCGTTCGGGAAGCAAAAAGGCTCGGAATGTCTGAAGGGGATGACAGTAGGGGACGTACTTCAGGAGGAGTATAACGGTAGTCGGGTGGTGAAAGATTTATGGGCGTTAACTAAGCAGACAGGGAGATCGTCCACGGCGAGGTGGGCGCTTCTGGCCTGGAAGGCAGTCCCGGAAAGCTGGAAAAACAAACTACTCGGGAAGGTGTCGGCGGAGGAAATTGCTGAAACGACTACCCTGGTCAAGGTTGGAAGGGAGACAGGAGGGAGGCAGTGTTACTGGCAAGTGGCGCTGGCGGGGGACAATGAGTTGAAGTGTGAGAGAGTGGAGGTGGACAGTAAAGGGAAAATCAAGCAGTTAGGTGTTGAAGTACAGCCGCCGGAGAGGCTGAGTATGTTAACCCCGATGGTGGCTAAAGGAGGGTATGTGGTGGGGTGTGTAGGTGATTCACTGACGCGACTAAGGACGTCATTTCTGTGCGAGGAAGGGAAACCTAAGGCGCAGAGGAAGCTAAGACATCTGCTCAAGAAACCGGCGCAGCAGCCTAAGCAGCAGAAGAAGTGGGAGGAGAACTGGGGAGGGAAGATTGACTGGGGAAAGGCCATCGCGAAAAGAGACTCGCTGGTGATCCCAGCCAAAGCAAGAGAGGTACTGTTGAGGCTTCACAGTTACAATTTGCAAGTGGCCAGCAGGCTGGCTTTCTTCGGTTCCCGTGCATGCTGCCCATACTGCAAGCAGGAGGAGACGCCAACGCATTGTCTGATGAGCTGCCCGGTGGTTATGGGAATATGTGGCGCGCTTCAGGACTCGCTTCGTCTGATTAACCCAACCAGAGCGGTTGGAACACTGGGAGAGTTGCTATTCGCTGAAGACAGCACATCATCCGGATTTCCGGAATCCACGCTCGTTGCGATCACGTTCAGACACATTTGGCTGGAAAGATGTGACGCGGTCTTCCGACAGAAAACTTTTGAACCCAGACGGGTGGCCAGGAAGATTGGGGCCAATTTCAGGAGGCATGTGCGGATCTACAGTGAGGGGAGCGGCGGAAAAAAGGGACACATGGGGGGGGGAGTTGGAGGAGGACAACACCTGTCAGCTGGAGAGGCGGCAGCGCTGAGCCGCATCTGTGAGCAGGACGAATGTCTGACGTGGAACAAAGCATTCAGCTCGATATGGGAGAGGCCTAGTACCTTTTTTAAGCCTCCATAAAGGGTCAATAGGGAGGACAGTGCAAACCGTATCAGAGTGGCCTGTGTCTTCCTCTTTTCTCAGTTACGACTGTGGATGTGATGCATTGTATAGTGTATTATGTCCCAAAAAAAAAAAAAAAAAAAAAAAATTGACAGCTGTTTTTGAACGCTTTAAATTCGAACATTTTGACGCATTCAGCGCGTCAATGCCGCGCGTCATTGAAGACGCATGTCAACAGCAGTCCAGTATTAAGGGTTACAGAAGCAAAAACAAAGTTTCCTAGGTCAACATGAACTGTAAACGAACTCATTGGACACGCCCTAAATCGGCAGAATGAGTGTGAGGGATCCAGCAAGGTGTTTCGTTAGTTGCAGCTCCGCAATCTCAAGGATGGGATATGAATAAACCCACCAAGTTTTGCAAAAATAAAAGCAATTCATTTTTAGAATGAAGGGGATGAAAATCCTTGAAACCATTGAATGTGCTCCATTAAATACCGGTAGCAGAATTTTTCTGCAAGATGACATAATCAACTGTTAAAACATCATGACTATCTAAGTTGGTGGGTATTTTTGAAAGAATTTGCCAGCTATTTGCTAGCTATATATCCTGTAAAAAAACATTTATGATCATTTATTCATATTAGCTTAAATATTAAAAATCTACTTCTCTTGTAATCTCTCAAGCTGTCAGTAATCCCTCCCCGGCAGGCCCCACGATATCAGGGTAAAACATCCTGATTACCCTGATTTCATGATAGTGTCAGCTGTTTTCCTTGCAATTTCAGGATGATGGTATATTTTACCCTGTCACTTCAGGATATTCTTTGTGTTGAGCCCTGAAATTTCAGGAAGGCAGTGAGATTTTGCCCTGAAGCATCAGGACGAAGGTAGAGGACTGCCCTTGTTGGAATAACCGAAAGGTTAAAGTAACATTCCCGAAGGATCTCCACTCACGCGTCACTTCATAACGAAGCAACGCGTCTGTAGCAGTACCGCAATAACTCATATAGAGCATGCGGAAGATTGAGAATCACCCGAAGGTCAACAGTCGAAGACAGTCAACGGTCGTGACTCTTGACCGATCAGTAACCGCACTTGGTAGTTACGCGATGCAACTTGGTAACTGTCGAGAAGAGCAACAGTCGTGGTTACTGTAGCAATGCAATGCAGTTAATTAGGGAATGTTCCCCTCAGAGTACATGGCTAACTAGGATTGCTATTTATATCTTTGTACCACTATCCTGTAATCATCTTGTTCTTTTTCAACTTATTAACAAGGTCATTAGAAAGACTTCATTGTCTTCTCTCAGACTTGACAGACTTATCCTATCCACTACGATCCTTCACTTACAACAAGAAGGTATGAGAGCTATAGTGGATTATAAGGCCTGCTATGCTCTTGTTCTTTCCATAACAACTTCTTTATAAATTATTCGTTAAACTATTACAAACTCGGCATCTCTATGGCTCCCGAAAGAAAGCCACTGTAGATTCTCCGGGCCCACCACCTGCAACTGTTAGAAACGAGAAGTTTGAAATGAGAAAGAGAGAGTTTTCACTAGCAAGCAGTTGAGTACATATAGCAAACCCTAAATTGGGCTGTACTCACTATTGAGTACCCCACTGCAGGCTAGACAAAACATAACATTCTGACACACCCCCATAGCCAAAGTGGGGTGTAATCAGCACAACAAGCAAAGCAAAACAAGCTCAGGGTGGATCACAAAGTCACCACACATTCTGAGCACAAGTACAAGAAGTAGCAGTTTATAGTTCACAAATATAAGCAAAGCTAGAGGCAGTCACAGATGGTAAGTGAGGAGGAGGAGGGACTGTGAGAGGAGAAGAGATAGGAGACGACAGGTGAAGCTGCAGACACACGGGCAACAGGAGCGGCGCGCACTGTGGCTACCGGAGATTGTAGCCTCCGGACTACTGGAGTAACTGGCTCCGCGACTAACTCTGAGCTGCAGGAGCAACGGACCCACGGGCGACTGGCGCAGCAGGCTCGCTGGGCTACCGGAGATTGTAGCCTCCGGACTACTGGCGCTGCTGGCGACACGACAGCTGCCTCCGCCCAACATCCTCTAACTGTCTCACCCCCCTTTCACACACCCCCTGCTGCACCTCTAGCACTACTCATACTCCACCCCCTAGCACCACTCCATCGGCTCCCACACACCCACCCCCCTCAGCGGCAGCTGCAGCAGTGGGAGACGGAGGAGGAGGAGGAGTAGGGAAGACCACTCACATTCGTCACCCCCACACCCGCCACCCCCAAACCCTAACACAGGGTAGGGCCGGAGATGGGGGGGGGGGGGGGGGGGGGGGGGGGGCGCGACAAAAACAGGAGGGGCCGACGCGTGGCCCCCGTCAGTCGCGGCCCCCCCCAGGGTCGCCTCGACAGGCGACAGGAATCGGCGCCGCGACGGGCGACGAAGGGGGGGGGGGGCCGCGCGGGCCCCCGTTGGCGCCGCGACGGGCGACGAAGGGGGGGGGGCCGCGCGGGCCCCTGTTGGCGCCGCGACGGGCGACGAAGGGGGGGGGGGGGGGGGGGCGCGCACGAGCCCCCCCGGGCGACGAAACCGCCGTGCGCCCCGGGGCGCGCGACGGGTAGAGAACCGTCGCGCGCCGCGGGGCGCACGACGGGCAGAGCAGGGCGTCGCGCTGCCCAGAGGGCGGCGCGACGGGCAGAAAACCGCCGCGCACCCCTAGCGCGCGGCGGGAAGAAAAAAGGCCGCGCGCCATGGGCGCGCGGCAGGCAGGAAGATAGCGCGCGCCCGAGGCGCGCGATAGGTAGGATAGTAGCGGAAGATAATGGTGGGCCCATGCACAGGATCGACCCGTGAGGGTCGACCTGCTCTGATTCCATGTTAGAAACGAGAAGTTTGAAATGAGAAAGAGAGAGTTTTCACTAGCAAGCAGTTGAGTACATATAGCAAACCCTAAATTGGGCTGTACTGACTATTGAGTACCCCACTGCAGGCTAGACAAAACATAACATTCTGACAGCAACACCTACTGCACCATCAGCGGTGACCTCTGTCAGCGCCGCTCTCGTTGAGCAGCTGGTCGCTCGCATCAACGCTCTTGAGAGTCATCAAGCTATGAGCATCGATGGCTCAAGCTACGCACGTGGAGTTGCTGGACTCCCTCTCCCTGGAGAAGATCGCCGCGTCAACTCCGAGAGGTCATTTACCTTTGACAACTGTCAAGCTTCAGCTCCTGCGCAAGACAGTCAACATCGCACACAGTCAGAAACAATTGCGACAATGCAAACAAAGTTCGTTCTGACTTCAAAGCTGAAGACATAAGTTCCCTTCGACAGCAATGACTTCTGTACGTGGAGCTTTGAGTTCGAGCTCCTCGCGACAACTGCGCAAATCTGGATGTACTACGATGGAAGCTTACCGTTTCCGACGGAAGGCACCATCCAAGAGAAGAACCCGTACTACCATGAGTCTCTTGTCACGTACACCACTCTTCTCCGAAACCTCTCCCCCTCCGAGCAGCTTGGGATTCGATCCTACAAGTCATAATGGGCACATGCGTACGCTTCTTGGGAGCACCTGCGCAACTCATACATGGCAACAGATCCCGTTACAATGAGTCGCCTACTCAGCCAACTTACATCGATTAAAATGCAACAAGGGGAGAAAGCGGGACCGTATATCAATCGGTGTCGCAATATGCGCGACCACATTAAGAAGTGCGGCGGAATTTTTCCCGACGACATGTTCGTCTCGATGGTTCTTTCCGGCCTTGGACCCGATTGGCGACAGTGCCAATCATTGCTCCGCGCTCGAGCAACCATCTCCGAGTCCGTTCTGTGCGCCACGCTTCTCTCCGAGAAGAAGGAGATCGACCTGTATAATGAGAAGAACAACAAACAGGAGAAATTAGTGTTCTTCTTTGGAGCGACTGAAGGGGAGCAGCATGGAAAGAAGGGGACATTCTGCAAATACTGCAAGAAGTCCGGGCACACTATCGATCAGTGCTACAAGCGTAAGGCCGCAGACGAAAGGCGCACCAACTCCTCCAGCCTGCAGCCTTCGTCACCCTCGGCTTCCCCTGCTGCAACAACGACTGTCTCGCCACCCTCCGTCGCGAGCACTTCACAAACTCCTACACGCATCACGGTCAAGGACAAGGGAAAGGGGTCAATCATGAGCTGCATGGCGCGACGAATAAAAGGTTTCCGATACTACGACAACATCGAATACCCGACAATCGCGCCCATCAACCTCATCACACCCAGTCCGAACAACGATCCTACTATTCAGAGCGAGAAAGACCGCCCAACAAACATCCCATCTGAGTTGCCTCCACCCACCCCAAAGTCTCCTCCTAGCATTTCCGCGAGGCGATATATCGACCTTTCGCTGTACACCGGAGACTTCGACCGCATCGTAACTCCAAAGATCACCAGGATCGCACGACAAAATCACAAAAACTACCACTCCTGGTACCTCGATAGCTGCTGCGGACAACACATGGTGGGGTCACCAACGTTTATCAGCAACTCAAAACAAATGCGACGACCATGCAAAATCACCGTCGCCAACAACGGACGCCTCCAGGTTTACGACATTGGAGAAATCTGTCTTGAAGCCGAAGACACTCGCTTC